GAAGAACTGAAGATGTTCTAAGCAGGGGAGTGATGGGATCCAATTTACATTTTGTCAAGAGCACTCCTCCTGCGGTGTTGAAGGATAATTTGGAAGTGTGGTCATGGAAACAGGTTAGGAGAGACTACCAGTTTTCCAGGTGAAGATATTAGAGACTTGGACTTGGACGGTGTCCACAGAGAAGCGGACTGATCTAAAAGGTATTTGAAAGGCAGCAGCATCTGGACCTGCGGTTGGCCTCTCAGGTGTGTGGCTTACCTGGCTGCTTAGTGATGCCATATACTGAGATGGGAGAAGGTACGATTGGGGAGTAAGGACTCAGTTCTGGACATGTTTGGGATGTGCACTCGCCAAGGGGCAATGTCAGGTACGTTGCACTTGAAGCAGTTATATCCAAGTGCATGTATGACTCTGGGGGAGACCTTGGGCTGGAGACAAATTCTTTTTTTTTTTTAAATATATTTTATTGATTTTTTTACAGAGAAGAAGGGAGAGGGATAGAGAGTTAGAAACATCAATGAGAGAGAAACATCAATCAGCTGCCTCCTGCACACTCCCTACTGGGTATGTGCCCAAAACCAAGGTACATGCCCTTGACCGGAATCAAACGTGGGACCCTTGAGTCCACAGGCCGATGCTCTATCCATGGGGCCAAACCGGTCAGGGCTGGAAACAAATTCTTGAGTTGTCAACATGTGGGAGGTATTTGATGCTATAGGATTGGATGCGATCGCTTAGAACAGAGAAGAGGTTCTAAGCCCAAGCCCTGAGGAACCCTGTCAGGAGTTAGGTAGAGGAGGAGGAGGGAAGATCCAGGGAGGAGGGCCAAGCAGCCCAGGGAATAGAGCACTTCAGGGAGGAACACTCATTGCTAAACGATGAGGCCAGTAAGACAAAGCTAGAAAATTCTCAACATGAGGGCATATTGGCGATCTGAACACGGTCATTTTCGAGTGAGCAGTGAGGACAAAAGCCAAATTAGTGGGTTTAAGAAGGAATGGGAGGTGGGAAAGTAGAAATAGCATGTGTAGACCTCCCATTTGAAGAGTTTTATTGTGAAAGGGAACTGAGGGATGGGTTAATCACTGGAGGAGGATGCCAAGTCATGGGTATCTTAAATTTTCATCTACTTGATTGTTGTTTGTTTTAAGATAGAATCTGTAAAAAAGAACATTGGGACTAGTAGTCTTCATCACAGAGGTGCCGCCAGCCACCGGGGTCAGCAGGGACTCGGCTGGATCAGGCTGGTCAGAGTGATGGGGCTCTGTCAGCAGGTGGGAGCCCTTGGAAGGTGGTTCTGAGCAGTGTCACTCAGATGTCCCTGACTTAGCTCTGAGGGAGTGAATCCAAACGTCCTCTAAGAATGTCAAGTGACCACCCCACAGGGCCCGCCGCTGAGGAGTACAATGAAAGAACAGCAACTGTTAGAGGCAGAGGCCTGCTCCCACCTCAGCAAATGAGCAGCAGCCACAGAAAGGACAGCCCAGCACTTGGGCCTCGGGAGCACTGAGACCCACAGTGAAACCAGGAATGAGGTCTTTTCAGGGATCCCGCAGCACCCGTAGTGCAGATAGCACAAGAAGTCATGAGCCAAAAGTCATCTCCTGTCGTTTTTGCCATAAGCGTTTCCCAGCCCCTTGATTGCCTGGGGAACAACTGTTTTGCCAGAATGATGGACTCCAAGCAAGGGCCAGAACTCACCCTGTGAAGATTAGGGGAAATTCAGTAACTTCACCGAGAAGGCTTGGAGCTGACATATCAGAGGGTGGGAAAATTGCTCGGGTGAACCTGTACCCCTTGGTATTCATAAGAAAACGTGTGTGACATAACTTAGAGCAGTGATAGCGAAGCTATGACACGCGTGTCAGAGGTGACACGCAAACTCATTTTTTTGGTTGATTTTTCTTTGTTAAATGGCATTTAAATATATAAAATAAATATCAAAAATATAAATATTTCTTTTACTATGGTTGCAAATATCAAGAAATTTCTATATGTGACACGGCACCAGAGTTAAGTTAGAGTTTTTCAAAATGCTGACACGCCGAGCTCAAAAGGTTCGCCATCACTGACTTAGAACAGTTAGAGAATCCCTTAGTTTTGTTTGCATGGGAAAAGGTAAGGAATACGATACAGTAAGTCCTCTCTTACCCATGGTGTTGACAGGTTCTCAACTTTAAGGAAACAGCTTACAACAAAATAACAGTTAAGTTCCTAAGGTATCTCATCAGTGTTATAATGAAACAGTCTTATTTGAGGAACTATATCTGATTTCAAGTATTAAGCAAAAGGGATTTGAGATGTTAACATCTGGAAGAAATCAGTATTTCCCAGGCACCCTAAAACATGGAGCTCAGGACTGGCACATGGATGCTCTGGCACATGGCATGGCTGAGGAGTAGTGTATGTACAACACTTACAGAAGTGCACAGGGAGAAGCATGGTGGAGATGGCGGAGCAGAAAGAGGATCAGAAGTTATTTCACCCTGGGGGCAGCATAAAGCCATTACCAGCATGTATAGGCCATGGTTTCCTAGTCCAAGTTCCAAAAAGGTAAGACATAGTAACATAAAAATGTATTTCAGCCTGGCTGGCATGGCTTAGTGGTTGAGCATCAACCTATGAACCAGGGGATCTTGGTTCAATTCCTGGTCAGGGCACATGCCGGGGTTGCTGGCTGGATCCCCAGTGTGGGGTATGCAGGAGGCAGCAGATCAATGATTCTCATCGTTGATGTTTCTATCTATCCCTCTCCCCCCTCTGAAATCAATAAAAATATATCTTTAAAAAATGTATTTCAGTTATCTAAGCCTTTAGTAGAATGTTCACTCTGCTAAAAGAGTACATTTGCTAACTTTTGGGCATGTTGACAGTTTCACCTCTGAGAAGATGAATGAAAAATGAGGGTCAACTATCGAGATATACTTCTCACCAATAATGAAAAATATGTCATTGTAGAGTTCGCAATTTCATATAGAAGAGGTATTGAAACTAACAGTGAAAGCGAGCAAAAGCTGTGCCGGATTCTAGTGGGAGGGCCTGGGTCAGCGGAACTCACTCGGGCCAGATGGAGTCCAGCTCACAGAGTCTTCGCTTTAATGGGATGTAATGCAAAATGTGTAGAAAACTATAGGATTTCATAACCAGTGACTAAAAGAGATTGGGGGCAAGAGAGATGAAACCCTAAATAAGGCAGTTCTGTCACATAACCACATGTGATTGACAAGAGCAAGAAGATACTCAGAGGCTCTAGTGGATGGGGGGGGGGGGGGGGGGGAAGGTGCCAGGAGGGTGCCTGAAATAGCATCAACTGTAGGACCAGCAGGACAGCCGAAGCTGGTCCCCAGGGCTTTTCAACCAGGGCTAGTTAGGACTTAGACTGTGTTGGGAGAGCAAAGGTCAGGGAGGAGTGTTACTCAAGACAACAGCTGACAGGAAACAGCGGAATACTGTGTAGGGAAGGATCGGTAAAGGAAGACCCCAGAAGTGATGGCAACAGTGCAGAGAGCATGGCTTTGTCAGCATCTGTTTCTCTGGTCCAGGACCAGGCATTTCCTTTGAGTCTGCTGGTCAAGCGCAGACCTGAACTCTGAGGCAGCCCTGATGTGTCAGGTCTCACCTGTTCGCACCCAACACTGAAAAGCTCTACTCTGAACACACTAACCTGTGCTCGAGCTGTCGGCCCACATGCCACAAGGTCACGTGCCACTGGCTGAGGCTGCAGGACATTAGAATCCTCGGGGGCTCACAGCCTGAACATTCCTTTTTATCCACCAAAGCTGCAGCCTAATTTATCGGACAATAGGCAAGGTTTCCTATGGAATAAGGCCTTAAAAATGTAATCCTTTTCTAGTGATTAGATCTGCAGCGATCCTCAGTTCTGCACATAGAAAAATACAGATGCTCAGTCCCCACCACAGCCAGACCAATTCAATCCGATCGCTGGGGAGGGGCCCAGGCATGGCATGGGTTGTTTTTTGTTTGTTTGATTGTTTGTTTTTTCTGTTTTGAGCTTTCTAAGTTGTCCTGATGTGCAGCCAGGGTGGAGAACCTCTACTGTTTAAACATTAGAAATGTTTCACACTTTTTAAAAGGCTCAATTCTACGTGATACCTAGTTCTTTTCAAAGAAAAAAAATTCCTTTCCACTTCTCTATCAAAATTAGAAAAGATGAAACAAACATGGTTAAAAGAACATTCTCTATAGGTAGCTGTACAGTGTACTTATGCCTCGAGGCCCTAAATGCTTACCTTCAGAACACTGAAAAGACTTGCACATGTAACTGAATAGCCCTAGGTTCGTGCAGCTCATGAGACATGAGAATGGCCAAAGGGCAGGAAACAAGGAAATGTCAACCTGTTGTCCAAAAGGTAACTCATGGACAGTACAAGCCAGTAAGCTTAAATTCGTTTCCTGGAAAAACCACAGAATTCCTAATTTAAAAAAAATCTGTGAGGCTTCCAAAAGGAATCAGTAAGGTGGGAAGACCGTTTCTGTTTGGGTAGATGGCGGGTTGTGGGGGGGGGGGGGGGAGGGATGCTGGTGATGGGGTCCTCCCTCCATCTATCCAGATCACACAGAATCTCACGTTCTATCCACAGGATGTCTAGTCCTCTTTCTAGTTCTAAGATTCTTTGAAAGCTCCAGTTGTAAACCTCTTTATCATGGAAGTAGATTTTAATATAAAGAATATTGTCCCGCCCTGACCGGTTTGGCTCAGTGGATAGAGCGTCGGCCTGCGGACTCAAGGGTCCCAGGTTCGATTCCGGTCAAGGGCATGTACCTTGGTTGCGGGCACGTCCCCAGTGGGGAGTGTGCAGGAGGCAGCTGATCAATGTTTCTCTCTCATCAATGTTTCTAACTCTCTATCCCTCTCCCTTCCTCTCTTTAAAAAAATCAATAAAATATATTTAAAAAAAAAAAGAATATTGTCCCAAGTGATGCTATACTCCAGCCCAGGAATATATATGTGTGTGTATATGGGGTGGGGGTGGAATAGCCGGACACAGATTCTCCCACATTACTTCTCTCCAAAGCTCTCCCTCTCCCCAGACACTGTGAAACCAGATGCAACAGACTTGCTTTGGTCCATTGGTCTCTTAGTCCAACCTCAGCTGTTGTTTTCATCTTTAACCTTCGTTGCCTCACTTGTGCTCAGTTCTTATCCAGATAACATAACAGAATCATTTCACAGAGCTGACCTGGCCTTTCTTCCCTGCGGACATCCGAGGCCCAGGCTGCGGCCACACTGTGTGCATCCATGTTCTCTGTCCGCGCACGTTCCCCAGGCAGACTCTGAGTGCCTTCTGGAGACGCCCCTGAAGACTGCATTGGAGGAGGTCAGCTTCCCAATGACTCCTCTGTAGAAAAATCCCATGTGTATCCCTTACTAAGCCCAGTTTTCCAGTCACATGAATTTTCTGGAGTATTTTTGGAGAAAACCAGATATACTGAGGAACTGCTGGGTAGGTCCTTTACAAATGTCTTTCCCCCAGATGTAGACAAAGTTAAATTTATTCTTGGCATAAAAATCATCAGAATAAGAAGGTAACATTGAGTCAAGAAGGTGCTTTTGTTCAACTGCATCTAACAGAGACCCTCAGCTTAAGCACTGTTGAGGCTTGTCTCTCTCTCCCCTAAAAGTCTGAAGGTCTGCCTCTTAGGACTAGTGCAGTGTCTGCACGGGGTCAGGGACCAGGCTCCTCACTGCTTTGTTATCCATCAGGGAGGGCCCAGGTGGCCCACTGCACCCACATGGAGGCAGGAGAGAGGCAGGGCACGGCCTCCGCCCAGAGGCAGCACCCAGTGCTTAGACACACGCACGCACGCGCTCCAGCCACTTCAGCTGGGGAGTGTTTTTATTTTGGGCAACCAGTGAAAACATTCTGTGAAGAGGAGAACAGCCAAGGGGAAAGACAAGGAGTCTCTCTAGCATACTCCTGGAACAGAAACCATTTCAGAGGGGGGAGGGCCAGGAATCCTGATCTCATTCCGTGACATCTGGCTGAAGGTCTCTGAGTCACAGCCAAGGCGTGTGCCCTCCCCACTCCTCCTGTAGAGGGAACACTCCACTATCACCAGGCCGGCCGCTCCTCCGCTCCTCCTCGGACTTGGCCCTGGGGTGTGAGGTGGCCTTGAGGTCAGCAGTCTCTGACCCACCGTCAGAGCCAGCCCACGGCCTCACTGGGACATCACAGAAACCACAAGCCTGGGCTGGAAGGTGGAAGATTCTCCCAGCAGCCAAGCTAATTAGGAGGAGAACCTGCTTTCCACCTGCCTCGTCAACATGTGCACATCCGTTCTCGTCATTACATGCCTCGCCTGCCACACAAGCGTTTTCCATCAATTCCTGGGCGCTGCGCTTCCAGCACTCTCTCCTAAGTGCTCCTTTCCTTTACTCCTCCAGCTGCTTAAAACAATTGTCTCAAGCATTTGAACAAACCCACATACACTCCCCTCCCATGCTTTTTGTTGTTGTTTAAACAAAGAGAATGCTGCTTTCTGTGTGTGTGTTTTGAAAAAAGCCAGAGAGCCCTGACCAGTTTGGATCAGTGGCTAGAGCGTCGGCCTGTGGACTGAAGGGTCCCAGGTTTGATTCAGGTCAAGGGCATGTACCTTGGTTGCAGGCACATCCCCAGTAGGGGGTGTGCAGGAGGCAGCTGATGGATGTTTCTCTCTCATGGATGTTTCTAATTCTCTATCCCTCTCCCTTCCTCTCTGTAAAAAATCAATAAAATATATTTAAAAAAAAAAAAAAGCCAGAGACTTGGCCGACTGGCTCAGTTGGTTGTAGCATTGTCCCATGCACCAGAAGGTCTTGGGTTTGATTCATTCTCTCTCCCCTCCCCGCCCCTCTCCTCCCTCCCCTCCTCTCTCCCTGCCTCCATCTCTAAAAAAGAATTGCAGAATATGTTAAGTTCACTTGCCACACTGAAACTCACTGATTAGCAGAATTAAGCTTCTCCCTTCCCTTTCCAACCCCTTTAAAAAAAAAATGCCAGAGCCTGCTCTGTCCTTCAGGGCCACGTGGCAGATCTAAAACCGCACCCTCTTTCTACCTGTGCGGAGCCTAATTAGTTTAGGTGGGAGTCTGTGCCAAGGAACGGCCAGTCTCCCGGGCGCAATCTGCCGCACAGAGCTTTCCCCAATGCAATTCCAAACTGAATGCCGCCTGCAGTTGTGATACCAACTGTGCGTTATTGGACAACAGCTCTGCCTCACACCTCAGAAGGAAACGAATACTATGACCCTCATTTTGGTAATATTATTAAACTGAGGCTTGAGGAATTAAGTCTCTGAGAATGAACTAAAACTGGGTCCAATCTCTCGGTGTTGCTAATGTAAGATGTGAAAAGAATGGGTATGTGTATGGTTAAGAGAATGGACATCTATATTTAACAATGTGCCAAATGTTCTTTTCTTCTTGCCACAGTCCAAGATTGTCCTAAACTTTGATTTGATAGAATTATTTTTCACATTCCTTTGGAATTCTTTCCTGCCTCTGGGTCTTTTGCTCTGAGGTAAGGATTGGGAGTGCAGATCTTTCTTACATAATCTCTAGGTCTTATGTTTCTGTTCTCTACCTGAAGATTCGTAATACCACTTTGATTCTACCCCTGTAAAGAAAAACAATCTCTCATTCCTGCTACTTAAATATTAGGTACTTAAGATTAAAGGGGTTATACATAAATATTGCTTACCCAGAAGCCTTCTGAATATTTCATTTCTAACAGAAATGCTCAACGTTTTAAAGCAACATTCTCCATTATAAAACAATTTGAAAAGGAAAAAAAATCCCACGAGGGTAACAGGGCTGGGTTTTTTGTTTGTTTTTTGTAGGAAAAGGTGGTTTTCACAGAAAGTACTGCTATCAGTTTATAAGACTGCTAGAAAATAGATTCTATTAAAAATAGCCACGAGCCCAGTCATTGTTTTAAAGGTGCTTTAGGAGGGAGTAAATGTTCAGTACTTTTAACATGGATTAGCATGTATCTGGAGGAGCTTTTTTTAAAAAAAAAAAACCACAAGTTTTATAAAATTGAAGAAACTGAAACTGTGTCATTTATAATGTAAAATTAATGCAGTTGAAATTTAATGGTTGACTCATCACTCCCACATTTGTATTTAGTTCTCTTGAGCTCATATGGTTTTCTTTAAAAATTGGTGATATCAGCTAAATGGGACTATTTCCCACTCCTACTCACTGAGAAAAGTGCCTTTGTGAACATGTCAGCTCTGTTCCATCATGGCATGTCATCACCGAGTGACACAGAAGCAGGCTGGCTGCTCACACGCCCTCACCAACATTAGCACAGGTTCAGGACCACAGTCCCAATAAGACAACCCTAAAGCTTCCATCTGTCTAGACTGGATCTCTGAAGTCTTCTAACCTAGCCTCTTTATTTTGGACATGGGGAAGCCAAGGCACAGAGGGGTTCAGCAACTTGCAGCTGAGCCTAGAACCCAGGTCTGTGTGATGACCAAGCGCTTTTCACAGCCTGCATTGCTGCCACTCCCCAGGACCTTCCATTGGTGCCATGCTAATTAGGAGGCAGTTTCACACGGTTCTGTAAGAGCCCTCCACGTATGTACAGTAAAGCCAGCGACCTTCTCTCTCCTTAAATCTGCTCAGCTCTGCTCTTTGCAGTCCAGTTAGGTTTCTTCAGCCTAAGCAGTTCCATCACTCCCTCCTGTGACGTGCCTTCTAGTTACCTCTTCTGGACACATTCCACTGATACTTTCCAGTTCTCAGTACCCCTTTTATTCAAAGGGGACCCACCCCAAATGGGACTCCTCCAACTTGTCCCTCTGCTGTAATCCCACTGCTGTCCTTCCTGTCTCCCCGCCCTAAAAACTCGGTCACTTTGCCTCCCCTTCTTCCCTCCCAATCCAGCCTCCAAGCAGTTTCTCCCACACTCTCCCTCTTCCTATTTCCACTACTCAGTATTCTTCCCCTTGACTTGGAAATAGTCCCTTTGCAGGTTTGCTTGTCTGGTGTGTCCAGAAATGCTTGTCTAAACTCCAGTAGCTGTACACAGTCTAATTGCTGTTGGTTTACCCACACTTCCCCACCCCCTGCCCGGACAAAGAAGCCACAGTCCTGGGTTGGGGTTCTGCTGCGCCTCTGCCAGCTCTGTCTTTACTAGTAGGTACATGATTTACCCTTTCCTGCGTCTAAGATGAAGATGTTGAGCAACACAATCTCTAAAGAGATACCGCTAATTCTAAGGCGCTGTGTGTCTCTCCATTCCAATCTGCTTCCAGAGAAATCTTCCTAAAACACTGATCTGTGTTTTTTTTCTGCAAAATCCTCCAGTTGCCCCTCCTTTCACATACTTCCTTAGCTTGGCACTCAGGCCCCGGACAGATTGGTGCTAAACACTCCTACCTGATCGTCCTGTTGTCTTCAGGAGCCCACACTCAGCTACAGTAAATTCCGCTACTCCCTTTCTGGTGCACTTGTGCCAAGCTTCCTACCTCTTTGTTTCTGTGGCACCAAAAGCTTCTCCCTTGTCCTACAGGTGGAATACACGCCATGTCTTTGCAAGCTGCTTGAAATCAGGGGATACTCTTTCTTCATCCTTGTCTTCACACAACACCTAGCACTTAGGAGGCAGGTGGTAAATGGCTGTTGTATAAATGTATTCGCCCCAAATTGCCCTAAAATCTTTGGGTCTTCACATCATGTTCTTGACTCACACTGGGCTTCCCGTCAAATAAAACCCTTAAACCTTTTAAAAGCACAGTTTTAACTAAGCAACTTATCTTCATCCTTTCCTTTTGTCCACTTTGAACTGATATTTAGAGCTTCGTCCACATCCATTGTTCTTTACTGAATAGACCTTTTTGACTCTTGATGCTCATGTCTAGTCTACTGGCTGCCCACTGTGGTCCACAGGTGTGATGTGTACACTGACTGTTTCATTAAAGTTGTTGATGCAAATGTTGAACAGGAGGAAGACCAGTGGATTGCTTGATTGGCACCTCTTTATCTTCTTATCTAGCAGTCTTTGGCTATGTCATTTAACCACATGTTACTAGCTGCTCATTTTGTTTCAATTAATTGTGTACATAGACAGAATTGGAGAATATTCATTCATTGAACTCGTTATTGAGAACAGTCATATCCAAGGCAGTGTGCTGGGCTTTGTGTAATAAAAAGCAATGGTTACAGTTAGGCCCCTGTCCTCTGAGCCACAAAGAGCAAATAAGGGCGTCCAATTGCATGTTCAGGGTGACTGCCCCAGTCCTCACCATGCTCAGCAGAGACCAAGGTGTACCACTCAGTCATTTTAAGGACATAACCAAGAAGTTGCTTACATTGCTTCTATTTTTTTTTAAATATATTTTATTGATTTTTTACAGAGAGGAAGGGAGAGGGACAGAGAGCCAGAAACATCGATGAGAGAGAAACATCGGCCAGCTGCCTCCTGCACATCTCCTACCGGGGGTGTGCCCGCAACCAACGCACACGCCCTTGACCGGAATCGAACCTGGGACCCTTCAGTCCGCAGGCCGACGCTCTATCCACTGAGCCAAACCGGTTTTGGCGCACATTGCTTCTATTTAGATCACATTGGCCTGACTTAGTCACATGACTACACCCAGGCAAAAGGGAGTTTGGGAAATGTAGTCTTTTCACTGGTAACCCCATGCCCACCTAAACCTATTACTTTTGAAGAAGGAGAAAACTGATATTATTGGGAAAACAACTAAACAGTGAACCACAAAGAGAAAAAGAAGAATTCCACATGAGAAGAAAAACTGTAAGAGAGGGAGACGATTGATTAATTATATCTCAACAGAGTGGAAGTTACCAGGAGCATAGATTTGGATTTAGCAGAACAAAATTAGAACTCTCAGAGAACAAGTGGGCTGTCTTGAGAATTAGAGTTCTCCACCTCTGAAAAGGATTTAGGGAATAGTCAGAAGAATTTACACTCAGAGGAAAGCTGGATAAAAGGTCAGCCTTGAAGACTGAATAGCTGTGTGATTGTGGGTGAAATAGAGAGAAAGGTCAGGAGACAGGCAGCGTAAACTGTCAGGAAACTACAACACCAGCCCTGGTGTGAGGCAGAAGGGGTGGAAGCAACCAGAATGGACTGGAAGGAACAGATGTCAGTGAATGAAGAGCTTGGCTGTCCACGTGGGACGACAGGTGCGATGTGTGCCCTGTGCCCCTGGGGGTGAAACTGATTTATGTCTCTCTGAAGGTACCTGGGGGCAGGGAAAGGCAGGGAGCACGTTAGCTTGGCCCTCTTAGAGATGCCGAAAGGTGGGCTCCAGGAGGCCCCTTCTTTGGATGTCAGGTGTGGGCCTTACTGCATCTTCCTGAGCCCAGGAAAGGGAAGCCGGCCTCCCTGCGTAAAACAATGGGCATCATGACGGGCTCTGCTCCTGGGGAAGCGGGTTCTTCATGAGCAAGTGCTTTTCTCACTCTGTCCTGATTTTCGCTTCTATTTAAATTCAAAGCGTTGCCGAATTTTAAAATAATGTGGCCTGCTTTTCCCTGCAGCCCTTCAGTTCACCACAGGTATTTAATCTGTTTGTTCTGCAGAGGCAACTGTTCTCTGGATTTCTATGTGCTCTGATAGCAAATGTTTTGTGTCACAATAAAAATTATTCCTTCTGATGGATGCCATGGTTGCTTTGTGCTCTGTCCAAGAATGTCATTTCACATCTGCTAAATTGCAGCGTTTCCCCCACTAAGATTCCATGGGTGGCCAGTTTGTATTCCAAACCCAGGGAGTCAAAGTCTGGAGCTCCCAATGGCTGTTAGGGTCGTGTCTCAAGGGGCAGAGCCACAGAGCAACATTCTTCTCGAACAGCCCCTGCGGATCCCTGGGAAAAGGGAAGGAGGCCTGAAAGGAAAGGCTTCCACTGTGGTCCCTCTCTCCCCTGTGTATCTTTGGCACTTTGGTCTAGAAGGCGGAAGCACCAGTAGTGTTGGCACAATCACAGGAGCTTCCTTGTGTAGGGCGCTCGCTGTGTGCCACGCCCCGGCTGAGGTCTTATGTGCATTATCTCCTTTACCCCTTGTAAGGGCCCTTTGAGACAGGTTTCTTCAAAGCTCTCATTTTATAGACAAGGAACTGAGCTCAGAGAGGTTAAGTGACTTGCGCAAGGTCACACAGGACTCAAACCTCACTCTGTTGGACTCTAGAGCCCAAGCTCTTAATCACTACACGGTACTCTTTAGATGGAGTTCACACTGGTGCGGCATAGACTGTGTCTCTGCCTCTCGGCATGTAAGCCACGGCCGTTTCCAGGAGCTCAGTGAGAACCAGCAGAGCCCGAAGGGAGGTGGAGGGCATGGAAGAGGAGCTAGCTGGGGGAACACAGAGGCAATTCCAGCCTTCAGGTGCACCCGACTCACTCCATGGAAATTGAGTGGCATAAGGGTGAAGAGCACAGGCTCTGGAGGCACCTTGTGTGACCTTGGCCACGGCAGTAATCATTTCTATGCCTTAGTCTTCCTCTTTTTCCAAGTAATGACTGCCAGTTTTTAGCTGGTCACATAGCCTTCCAAAATAAAGACTACAATTCCCAGCCTCCCTTGCAGTGATGTACAGCCATATAACTATGTCTGGCCAATGAGATATAAGCTGATGCTATAAGGTCACTTCCTGAAAAGGTCAGCTGGCATATACTATTTGATCCCTTTTTCTTTTTTCTTTTTTCTTCCAGTCTTCTGCCTGGAAAGTGGATATGATGTCTGGTATCTAGCTGCCATTTTGGACATGAAGATGAGGGCAACACCCTAAGGATGGTAGAACTGTGAGCCGGAAGGTGCCTGTGTCCCTAAAGACTTCATGAGCAAAGCCACCATACCAGTCCTTGACTACCTACTTCTGTACTTTCACATAAGAAAGGAATCAAAACAAAACAAAACAAAACAAAAGAAAGGAATAAACAACTATCTTATTTAAGCCACTGTTATTTAGGGCCTTCATTGCTCATGGTTGAGCCTAATCCTTTTTTTATTTTTAATCCTCACCTGAGGATATGTTTGTTTTTTATTTTTATTGATTTTAGAGAGAGGAAGGGAGAGGGATAGAGAGATCAAAATATCAATGGATGAGAGATAAACATTGATCAGCTGCCTCCTGCACACCCTCTACTGGGGATTGAGCCCACAACCCAGACATGTGCCCTGACCAGGATCAAACGGTGACCTCCTGGTTCATTGGCCGACACTCAACCATTGAGCCACACTGGCCAGGCTGTTTATTATTTTAGATTGATTTGAGAGAGAGAGAGAGAGAGACATTGATCAGTGGCCTCCTGCATGTACCCCAACCAGGGATTGAACCTGCAACCTGGGTATGTACCCTGACTGGGAATCAAATCTGCCACCTTTTAGTGTACGGGACAACACTCCAGCCAACTGAGCCACACCAGCCAGGGCTGGTTAACCTTAATCTATAAAACACTTGAATCGATACCTGGCACATAAGCAATTCAATAAGTATTGGATAAATATTATTATTAGTGTGTGTGTTAATTAATCGATTAGGTGAGACGAAATTATAGAAGGTCTTGAGAAATCAAGGAGAGAAATTTGACCTTGATGTGGTAAGTTTATATTTGTTACTTCTAAAAAATTATTTGAGAAGAATTAAAGTAAAATAACCATAATCACTAGGACCATCCCATAAAGGTAAAAGGCAAGAGCTATGGAAAGCAGGGGAGAGAATTGTACCAGAACTCTAAGCTAAGGCTGGTTATTAAAACCATACATAAAATTTGGTTCTGAGTTGCCTGGCTGCTTTGGTTCAGAACAAAACAGAAGCCTTTGCAGGCTTTTGAGTGGAGGTTTCCTGCTGTGCAAAGGCAGTTTAATCTAGCACTTCTGTGCAAGATAGATGGGATGGGGAAGAAATCAGAGTTCGTTAAAGAAGCCACTGCAGGAACCCAAATATGAAGTGATGGAAATGATGGCAGTGGGGTGGAAGTCAGGGAGCAAATATGGAAGATAATGTGAAGGAGATAAAGGAAATGCAGACGTCCAAGATGACTAAAGTTTCACATCTGAGCAATGACAGGAGTCAGGCGTGTGCTACTAAAGTACTGAGTAAGAAACAATCCCCTAATCTATGCCTGACAACAATAAACATTTATTTATTGCTTGTGGGTGTGCAGGTTGGCTAGGATTCTCGTGGGTGGCTGGAACCAGATAGGCTTGGCTCCACGCTGCCAGTTGTGTTCAGATCTATTCCTCATCCTGGAACCAGAGGCTATCCAGGCAGATTCACCTTGGGGCAGGTGGCAGAAGTGCAAGAAACTAGGCCAAGCCGTGAAAGCATATTTAAAGCCCCTGCTCACAACACTTCCACTAATGTTTTCACTAGCCAAAGCAAGTCCCTTGGCTGAATCCAAAGACAATGGGGTGAGGAAGTATTGGCCAACTCTGTCAGGAGGTGCTGCAAGGTTATATGGTGGGAGGAGTACAGATGAGGCAACAGTAATTCAATCTGCCTCAACAAAGAAAATAAGAGTGATTCTCCAGGCATGGACATTAGGAGTGGAGCGGAGTAGGATGGTGGGTTTCTTAACGTGAGGCACACCTGTAACATGACAGCCATCTGTCTCATGCAGAGTTGAAACTGCAGTCGGGATTTCTGGGCTCCAGATCTAACTTGGGGGCATACTCAGTCTTTCTCTTGTTGTTATTTCTGTGCCATAGATGTTACGAGTGGACACCCCCCACCCCCGTATCTAGATGTATCATCCTCTTCCCTTTCCCTCACACACTGTGGTTAGGGCCCTGCTGCACAGTCACTTCTGAGATCAGTCTTGCAACTGACATTGGTGGATCTGCCAGAAAGACAGCTATCAAAACTGGCACCTACTCTTAGATGAAAAATCTAGAAGGACGTATCCAAGAGGGTACTCCTGGTGGTGGGACTTCAGGATACTTGAGGTCTTTCTGTCTTTTTCAAGCTGTCTACAGAGAGCATGTATAAAATTTATAATTTCAAGGACTGTTCAAATGATTTTTAACAAACCTGGTCATTGACTCAACTCTGTTTCACCCATCCTTTGCCAGTACATGTCTGAAGGAAAATTATCTCTCTGAAGCATTAGTCAGCACCCGGGCCTGCCAAGCCTGCCTTCCTTGAAGGCACACACACAAGGGCTGTTCCTGTCCTTCCAATGCTAATGTCTCAGATAGTCTTTTTTTTCTCCTGAAAAGTTTTGTGGGGGGTGAGGCAGGCATGAAGGTGGTTTTTAGTTTGAATACAAAAGAGCAAATTGAGTTTTTCCTCTTTTTCTTTACATACTTGTTGTTTTGGGTTTCGGCCTGTCTAGAATGACGTCAGGCAGGAAGCAGGCACAAGAAATCCACCAGCCAGTGTATGTTCCCAATGTTCTCCGGCCCCTCCCACACTTAGTCATGCCCCACAGTGATGCATCTGACAGCAGGCAAAAGCACTGACCTGAAAAGACTGCTCTGCTGGGGTTCTCTTCCCGTCAAATCCCCATTCTCTCCGGCCACAGGAGAGCAGGTTTTGAGTGCAAGGAGCATGAGCTTTGAGTCAGGCTAATCCTGATCCCTCTACACCATTATCTAGTTTCTCAAAGCTAACCTTTCCTTTCATCTCCCCCCGAGCTACTGCCCCCTCTTCCTCACCTCCCACTCACAGCCTGGCTTCTGTTCTACACCTTGTTTGAGGGACACTAGCCCACGGATCCTCCACAGTCTACTCGTCAAATCCAAAGTTCAGCCCCTCATTTACTTTGGCCATTGGTTGTACATAAAATCTTCAATGACTCACTCTTCAAGCTCTTACTCCCTTGGTTTCTATGGAGTCAAACTCTGCTTGTTCTCCTGGTTGCCACCCTCTCCTCACTGCATTCTCACCCCCACTCTCTCAGTGTCTGAGTCATTCTTTGTTTCAACCACGTTTCATATGCCGACAACGCCAGCCCAGACCTTTCCCCTCTGATTCATATTTCCTGAAGAGCTGGTCATCACAAGGATATCTCATGGGCCTGACACCCAGCATGTCCAGAACTGAATTCGCCACTCCATTAAGGCTCTGGTTACAAACACCAGGGACTGACTGATCCTGATCAGCCTAGGCACAGCTTAGTGGACAATTAATCCTTCCTTCATTGGAAGGATTGCAAGGTGGTTTTTGGAATCAAGAAAAAAACCACTGAACAAATGAGGTGTCTAGGAGGCAAGAACCAGCTTACGGCATGGATTCAAGTTCCCAGGAGCGAACTTGACATGTCCAGCCTGGGTCACGGCTTCACTGCGTGGGTCTGTTATCAGCATAAAGGGGGGCGAGGTGCAAGAAGTCCCAGACAGACAAGAAATAGCCACCATACCTCCAAATCTGCTTTCCCCCTACATTTTCTATCTCAGTTGGTGATTCTATTACCATCTACCACTTAGACTGGGAAGGAGTCTCTCCCCCACTCACACCCATCTTGTATAGCAAAGGCAACCAACCATTAAAGTCTGAGATTTTACCATTTAAAGTAGCTTTCCAAACAGTTGCCTCCTCTCCATCACTTGGACCTCTGCCCTCCATTGGGGCCTTATTATCTCTTGCCTGGATGACTATTAAGCCTCCTAAAAAGTCTCTCTCTTACCACTCTGTCCACCTCAAATTCTTCCTCCATATAAGAGTCCGCAACCTATCAAAAACCCATACTGCTCAGCCGGCATGGCTCAGTGATTGAGCATCAACCTATGAACTAGGTCATGGTTCGATTCCCCGGTCAGGGCACATGCCCAGGTTGTGGGTGTGCAGGAGGCAGCCGATCAATGATTCTCTCCCATCACTGGTGTTTCTATCTCTCTCCCTCTCCTTTCCTCTCTGAAATCAATAAAAATATATTTTTAAAAAAACAGCAGGGGATGCCCTAACCGGTTTGGCTCAGTGGATAGAGCGTCAGCCTGCGGACTGAAGGGTCCCAGGTTCGGTTCTGGTCAAAGGCATGTACCTTGGCTGCGGGCACATCCCCAGTAGGGGGTGTGCAGGAGGCAGCTGATCGATGTTTCTAACTCTCTATCCCTCTCCCTTCCTCTCTGTAAAAAAAAATCAATAAAATATATTTAAAAAAAACAGCAGGGAAACTGTTTCAGCGAACCCGCTCAGCACAGGGCCCCCATAGTGGTTAAGACCCCAGACTTGGAAGACTTGGGAATCAGACTGGCCAGGACTCAAATCCTGACGTTGTGACTGGCTGTGAATTTGGGCCTCATCTGGAAAATGGAAACAGGCGCACCAGTGGGGTGATGTTAAGATGAAATGCAATATGCAATTTGCTTTGCATTCGTTAAGTGGTAGCTAAAAACCCTACCATGGTAATGTCTATAGCTTTGGTCTACCATAACTTTTGGCCTAATTACCCATTCCAACTTTCAGAATCCTTTAAGAATGGATACTTCTACAACTCAGAAGAGGATAGTGAAACCATGTAGGGGTTTGTAGTTTTTTATTCCCTTCCCTTAGATCAGTGGTTCTCAACCTTCCTAATGCCGCGACCCTTTAATACAGTTCCTCATGTTGTGGTGACCCCTGACCATAAAATTATTTTCGTTGCTACTTCATAACTGTAATTTTGCTACTGTTATGAATTGTAATGTAAATATCTGATATGCAGGATGTATTTTCATTGTTACAAATGAACATAATTAAAGCATAGTGATTAATCACAAAACAATATGTAATTATATATGTGTTTTCCGATGGTCTTAGGCGACCCCTGTGAAAGGGTCGTTCGACCCCCAAAGGAGTCGCGACCCACAGGTTGAGAACCGCTGCCTTAGATGATCAAAATCTGATTATTACAAAAGCCCAGTGAGAAAGACTACAGAAATATTACTTTGCCTCTTTTAAAGATAGAGAAAGTGACACCCAAAGAGACGAAGGGACTTGGTCAAGGTCACGCAGGCAGTGAACAGCCCCCT